TTTTTATATATACATCAACTTTTAAAAAGAAAATTATATTACATTTTTAACCTTGTGTAAATTTATCTAAATAGACATATATAAAATTAAATAAAAATATATCACACTAAATTCATTCACTAATATCTATTTTCATTAAATTATTATGAACTTTTTATATTCATCATTCACAAATTACACAAACAAATTTACAACCATAGATAATTATGAAAACATTCCGCAACTTCTTTCATAAAAACATTAAGAGTGTATTTGATTGCCAATTTTTTATGGAAAATATAGTTTTTCCACCTAATTTCCTACTTTTGTGCTGTTTGATTAACATTTTCTTTACGAAAAATATTTTTTTATTTTTGGTTAGGTGACCATATTTTTCTTGAAAATATGGAAAATATTTTCTTTAGGGAGTTGTAGTTTTTATTTTTCAAGTAGTCCACTCTCTGTTTTTCTCTCTCATCTATCCCCTCCATCTCATCTATCCACCACTAAAAATGAACAAGTATAATATTTCTAGATTGAGAACTAAATCAATCAAACGCATTTAATTAATAATTTTCATACAAATAAATTTTAAGCAATGCAATTACCTAGAATTTATTTTATTTCCATACAAATTTCATACTCGCAATCAAATGCACCATAAAATTTCCAGCCCCAACACAATATAGCTTGACCAATCGAAACTTTTCAATTACTCTCTAGAGAAATAGCGCACTTCAAATATGAAGAGGCCACCTCATCAATCACCTTCTTATTCATCTCCTTCTTTTTTTCATCTTCTTCGTAAATCAATTCACTAAAAATAAAAAAAAAAATCCCTACCAAAACGTATCAGAGCCAAGAAAATTCAGAATGATGCTACTACTGATTCTACTAAATCAAGAAGCTCCATTTTTTGAGATGTCATCAGACATGGCATGACCTGAGGAGAGGCCCAAGAGGCCTCCGCCTCAAGCCCAAATTTTTAAGAGACCAATTTTTTTTTCTTTTTTTAAGGGAACAATACAAAACTTTTATTTTCAAAGATCACATTTCATAAATAACAAACTCATTAAAATATTTCAAAAATCAGGTTGTAAATTAATTTATTAAATATTAAAATATAATATAATATACATTAATTATTTCTACTCATGTCACCTCACCTACCATATCCTATCACCCCACTACACCAAATTCCCTCCACCTCTCCACCAGAGATGGCCATCATCTCCGAAGATCACTCTGGTGGACTCTCCGGCACTGCTCCGACGCCTCTTCGGCGACTGTTTCGGAGATCACTCCGGCGCCTCTCCGGTGGCCTCTCAGGTGACTTTTCGGCGGCCGCTCCAATGATTTAAAGATTTCCAGAAAATAAAAAATTGAAAATCACACTCCCACCCCCTATGGATCCACCTACTACCACCCTATCCCTGCCTATACCTCCTAAAAAATTATCGAAAAAATTTCAAGTAACTTTATATAATTAAGTCGCTGACGCATGTCATCCGTGACTAATTGTGACCAAGTTTGTATTCAATGTGACTAACTGTAATCAAATTTGTGTTCAGTGTGACTGTTTGTGACTAACTGTGACCAAGTTTGTATTCAATGTGATTAACTGTGGCCAAATTTGTGTTTAGCATGACTGTCTGTGACCAATTGAATCTTAATTGTGACCGTACATTATCGAGTCACAATCGGTCACAATTAACACAAAATTGGTCACAACTAGTTACAGTACACTCATATTTGGTCACAAATGATAGACAAATCCGCTAACGAACAAACAAGCACCACAATCCACCACCAATCATTACCACCATCACCTCCAATACAAGGCTCGAAAAATAAATGTAACCTTTGTGATGATCTTTTTTGATTTATTGTTGATTGTTGAAGAGCCTGCTTTCATAGCCTTGGCAGTCTTCAAGGCTCGAGCCTTTGGGTCAGCCTTTTTTGTACTATCCACCGTTAATCAAATGCAAATGCACGGATAAGATAGTCATAACAAAATGCATTTATCATACATCACGAATAATAGATTTGGGTAGATATCAAGGCTCAAAAAATAAATGTAAATCATTATTATAAAAAATTTAATTTGTATATCGTGTTTAATGAGGTTCTTTAACCAGTTAATGACATGGAATCTCAATTTAAATAGCTTCTATGGGTTGAATATACCATTGATGAGAAAAATCTCAGATCGGGAAAAAAATAAAGCTCCTGCAAGAAACAGAGTTCTGGGCATGGCAATTGTCAACCTTTCAAATTTACAGCCCACAAAGAGGAACAAAAGCCATCATTTTCTTAGGTCACAACTAAACAAATTTCACTTCACTATTAATTTGGACCGAGTTCAACTAATTAATTCCTGGAAATCCAGCTTAACAATCCTAAGAAACTCCTCTAAAGAACACGCTTTAACCTAAGAGACAACCTCAAGAAAACAAATCAGAAAAAAAGAATGCTGTAGAACATAACCTCGATATCTCTCAGATCCGAAAGTTTTTTAAATACTCCATTAATTTAAAAACGAAAAATAAAACTTTGTCAATATAAGAAAGTCCATATAAACCCAGAACTTGCAACTAAATCTACAATTTTTTAGTAATAATATACAATAAATTAAAGTTTAACCCAAATTACTTAGCGAAAATTACTATTAAGTTCCTAAACTTCACTGCCAAGCTTGCAGCAGCACTTCATTGAAATTTCAGATCCACAAGCGGCACTGCAGTACCTCAACTTCACCTCAGTGAGCTTACAGTGACGTGCAACGATGTTGTGACCGATGCTCGCAACGGACGGTTGTAGCAACCGATGCAATAGGCATCCGGTCTCGTGAAACTCTAGCGAGAGAAGCAGTAGGTGGCCGGAATCTAGAGGGTGGGGTGGGGAAGAAGTCGGCCTGATTTTTGGGTAAGAGAGTGACCATTTGATTTTTGGGGAAGAGAGAGACTGTGTAGTGTAGGTTAAAAATGAATCAGGTATGGGGTGTAAAATAAGTGTTCGGGGGTGATAGGCTGAGTGGGTGTAATTAATTTGTTTTAATTAATTTAGAAATTAATATTTACCACCTGATTATTGAAATTTAATCTTTCACTCACCTATTTTTGATATGTAATCTTGAAAAGAAGGTTTGTAGGTAATTTTCCCTTTTTTTAATAACCCATGCCTTCAAAAAGTCAAAAACCTCTAGAGTTTGAAAATTGAAAGTCCATACCAAAAGCTTGAGAAATCAAATGGTAGTGGAGGTCAACCGTCGTCGGAGATGATGTGGTGGCCGTCAAGATAACCCATCCACCCCCTCCCCACACCACCACCAAAATACACAGAGAAAGAGCGAGAGTCATAATGAAGGTATATCGTATTTAAAGCCTCCATGCCTTGGCTTGCCAGTAAAGGTCGAATGGCTATAGAATACATAGAGAATCTTTTGTTCTTTTAGGTATTTTTACATTATTACAAATTTACATATATTCTCCCTTGTACGCAACGACAATTTGGTAATCTTCTTTACGGTTTATGTGAATTAATTTGTTTTGGGTTTTGGGAGTTTTATAGGATTTTCAATTCAATTGTCAGTGAAGGGTGAAGCAGGTGAATCAGCGAGCAAGCGGCAGTATGTTGCAGAAATTCCTCAAGTGCATTCATTGTTCAATTCAAATTATTCAATTTACGGTTTATGTGAAGTAATTTGTTTTGGCCTTCTGGGTTTTTGGAAGTTTAAGCAGAAAGTAATCAAGCAAGAAAAATGGATGCTTAATATTTTATTAGTTTTCTTTATATCTAAGACTAGTAATTCTCTGTATGTTTTGAGTTGGGCTCTTTTTTTCTTTTAATTTGCGAAGTGTTGGTAGATTTGGTTTTGCTTCAGTTTGTATTTGTTCTATCTTCTTGTGTTTATTTAACGTGTTGACGGGTTGTTACTTATCATGAGTAGTTGAAAATATTTTAGAAGATTTAGGCGGAGAATCTTCTTATTTGATTTCATGCAATCGTTTAATGATTGAATCCATATGTAAAGACAAAGGGATGGCCATGTTGGGTCCTAATCCCAAGTCATAAAAATAAAAATTGAGAGCTAATAAAGTAAAGATGTTATTATTTCCATTTCGCCTTTGTTCCGTGACCTGTTGGGATATTATTTATGATTGCTTTGGGATTCTTGCAGCTTATTTTTTGACTTTGCTTTTTTCACCTTTCAGTAACTGTTAGCTTTTGAGTCATTTTAGTCAAATACCATGACTCCTAAATATGCATCTGGAGTTCAAAAAGAGAGAAAAAGTAGAAGTATTAATTTGAAACCAAACTGGAGATATGGATAAGTATTTTAATAATAAGAAACGAAAAGAGAAGGAAGGAACACCAAAAAATTTAGTGATTGAGGAACAACAGAATGATAATGATAATGTGGATGAATGGAAAGAGAATGAAGAAATGATTGAACCTGCCAATGTGGATTAATCAAAACAGAATGATGAAAATAATGTTCAACCTGAAGATTTAAATTTAGAGAATTGCTTTTCTTTAAATCTTGAGGATCTTGGACATTGGAAGAACGTTCACATTGATCAAAAGGCAATGGACTTTTTAGT